CACTTTTCTGTCTTTTTTATGCTATTACCTAAATGTAAATGATATTTATCGAAAATACTACAGAGAACTCAATTCAACGGATTGATTTTTTAAAAACCCCTAATTTTATTTTTATTAGCTTTAAAAACAAAACTTGTTACAAGTAATCACAAGGATTCCAAAAAACATTACATTCTGCTTTTGTCACTTTGAGAGAACAAGGAGCATTTAAATGTCCTAAAAATACAGGAGAGCCAAAGTTGACAAATAACGAACTACTACAAACTATGGATTGTCACATCAGGCACACTAAAATACAGAATACATATATATATAAATTACTGACCAGGTTTTCAAAGTACAATGAATATTCACTACAATTTATAGTACCAGAAAAGTAATGTTCCCCAGAATATAACACAAGATCGCAAACATGTTCAGATAAAATTATAAATTCACCTCCTGGAGTTCAATGAAGAGAGAAGTGAAATGAGTGAAAAATTTTTCTTCAAGTTGGAGGACATGCACGATACAGCAGAAATGTGGACGGCTCCCTTCTGGGGCCCCCACCTCGGGGGAGAAGGAGCAGGAAGGGGATGGTAGCAACAGCATTAGCCACCTTGACTCTCCTCAGTCCCTAGTATGGGTTAGAAGACTGGGGACTACATAGAAAACAGTACGGAAAAACACGTATTCTCTGCATAGATAGAGATCTTCCATATGACGAGAATGAACATTCAGTCAAAGCTATGCAGGAACTCCCAGGAGTCTGTGGGACATGGTTTTGCTTCAAAAGGAAACACAATTCACAAGATAGACCACGCATGCCTAATTTAGTAAAAGGTCCTTACGCTTTTACTTAAATGGATGGAGACACTTTGACTCAGCCCCACATCAGTTCTTCTTAACCTTGGCTGGAAACGTCTATTTTGAAAATGACCATTTTTATAATCTTTTTGGCCAGTAAAACCTAGCAGTTATTACAATCTTCTGTTGCTTTGTTGCTTGTATATTTGGTATTAATAACAACACCCTTCAAGTTACTAACATTTTCCCCTGATTCCTGGGTAGAGACAACAATGGCATCTGGCGGACCCATACCCCAAGGGGAGGTTATAAAATAAATGAGTATTTACTAAGTTGTTGAACAGGGTTCATAAACCTTATTCTTCACGTTTACTTAACTTTTTAAAAAGTGAGCTTCTTTAACAATGGACTTCCCTCCCCAGCTAGGAGGCAACTAATTCCCTCATCTTTTGTTCCATTATTCTGTCACATTTATAAATAATTTGTTTGCTTTTGTACAGGAGGATGTAAATGCAAGTGTGTAGAAAAGGAGCACAGTGAGTGGCTAAAGGAAGGTTGACCAAAGTCTAGGACTCCAGAGCAAAGAGAGCTACCCACAGACAGGGAACTCTGATGCACCAAAGAATTTCATACATTTTCCACTGCTTAATTATGTCTGAGATCTTCCCCTTTAAGAATAAAGCTATGGTCTGTAAATGAGACTATATAAGTCAGTCTTCAGTCTTTACCAGAGCTCCATTTTACAAGCACTGAGTGACGGTGCCGTTCCACTGCAAGCTATTTCCAAATCCTGGGAGAGCTCATGCTGCTTCATTAGAGTCACATCTCAAGTATGACTATTTGTAATTAAATCTCATTACTACTAAAACCTATGAAGGCCCACATAAAATGTCAACATGACTGCTGGCTACCAAAATAACATTATTTAAGTAGATTCCAATCCCAACAGTAAAATGCTAACAAAAACATAAAACGTGGAACATCGATTTCATTCATGAGACTGAGTCACTGCCTTCACCAGATGTCTCTAATTCACTGTATCCCTTCAGGGGAGATAGAATTCTTTTCCCCTTTATTGTCTGTCTATAAAGGAGAAAATGCCCAGCGCGGGAGTTGGGAATGCCAATCTAGTCCCCGTGGCCTTCATAATAAGACGTGTCAGCTCTGTTTTCTCATCTATGTCACACGAGGAGACTACGTCATTCCCAAAGTCACCTTCGGCACTATGACTGAGATTCTGAGGAAATCTAAGGTCTTCGCTTTCTATCACAACGTTCTGAAGAGACAGAGTGGCTGTGAGTGGGAAACAAAAGGCCCGTATTCTAGAAGAAGGATGGTGCTGATCCTGCCCTGTCTCTTGGCAGCTCTGATTCGAACACACCAAGTTCTATTTAAGCCTTTATGGTGAACGTAAAACTTCCTGGGCTCTCCATTCTGTGGCTAGGTTTAGTGTATAAAGTATGAAGAAGCAAAACGTAAGAAGATGAGTTTGCTCTCCTCCTGATGTTCAGCTCCCCAAGGCAAGGGAACTGTTTTTACTGATTCTGTCTCTTAGCACCTTCAACTAGTTGATGCTCACACGAGTGCACTTTTTAAATGGGTTTATTTCCAGTTTCGTCAGGCGGGTATGTCGAAAGAGCTTAGAACATAGGAGCCAATGCACCACTGCACTGCAGGTTCTGTTGACTATCCTTATTATAAAGTGTTAAGATTTTCTTATGCTTCACAAATGCTTTTTTCCTAACACAAAGCATCATCTTCTTTCCTCACAATGCTCTAATGAATTTGATTCCTGAGATGAAGTTACGATTTCTAAAGAGAGCAAGGCTACTACACTATCAGAGTTAAATCTGAGTAATAACTCAATTTCCAAAAAGAAAATGTAGCTAAACTTATTAAAAGGAACTTTAAAAAAGTACACTAGACTCATCTCTTACAAGATGGTTACATGAGCTGGATATAAAATTGCCAAGAAAGGACAGAGACCCTAATACTTGTTGAGATCCTGGTTGATTTCACCATATTCAAAAGTTAATGGGCATTTAGTACTTTTTCTTTTAGAGTTCACCTATGGAAAGAATGAAAATATTAATGTTCTCCATTCAGAAAACTTTAATATGTGTATATATTAAATAATATATATTTTGTATTTAATATATATTTATTTTGGTTTAAGTTTTTCTTCAACTTATTCAATACTCTCAAAAAAATAAATACAGAGAAAAGAAATATTTGCACTGCTTGACTTTAAAAACAGGTTATGTAAGTTAGGAATAGACTATTCTTTAATTGGAAGAAAGACCATGAAAGCCAAGCCAAATAACAAAACATTATGGATTTTGATCACTTAGAAAACTAGCTAATAAATATTACCTAAAAGGAAATTTTAAAATTCTCAACTGTTGAAAATACATACATTTCCTGACTTACAAGGTCCATTCTGCAAATGATAAGTTACTGCAACCAGATAAGATCAAACACTGGCAAAATGGTGAATTTGGAGTGCAAAGTAAATTTATTAAGTGGCTGTCAGTTAAATTGCCAAATGATCTGAATTTAATAAACTGCTTATGGAATCACAAATTTCAACTGAATTTATATTGAGAATGAGCCAGGGTAGACATATATAAATAGGACAGTTTATCATCTCTGAGTATTTGAGGGCAAGAAAAAATATAAAACTTTTTTTTGGCAATATGGTTTAAGTCCTCAGAAATAAAAACCTACCATAATAAGAACCTCTAAACCACGAAACATGCTACTAAAAATGTACGGACACCATGGCGTGAATTTCTGTATTCTTCCTTCTGGGTAGTGGCGGCCACATTGGTTTATCAGTCCAAACTCCTGTGTGCAGCCCCTTTGCACACATACCAGGGAGCTCCAGACACATGACATAGAGAGAAGACAGGCAAGTGACCAAAGCAAAGTTTTCTTCATTATGAGACTTTTCTATAAAGGGACTGCCAGGTCTGAGCAGACCACAGAAAGGTAAAAAGATGCTTGTTTCTGCTTTAGGAGCTTCAACTATCCACTCCTGAAATACCAGTAAGAAACAGTTCTGTTTTAGGGGAAAACGCCAACTGTCAGCCAGGGTAAAATATTGCACCAAAAACAAAGTCTGATGAACAGAATGATCTTGATGTCCCCCATCTTTCCCTGATTCATAGAAAAAGAATAAGTGTGCCTTTTCTTTCAGAGCAAACTGGAAAATGTTTAAAGAGACAATTAAAAAAAGGTCTTCTGAAAATCTTATCATTACCTTTTCTAATTTGCAGTCTCTGAATGACACACACATGTATAACATTAAAAAACTCAACCGGTGGCTGAGGACAGCTGGGGATGCCACGGGCTTAGCACATGGTCACAGACGGCAGACCGCCATGGCCCCCTGAGGTCATAATCAGTCAAACTTATGGGTGGCACGTCCCGCTTCCAAAGCAGCAGTTCTCTGGGAGGGACGACGCATCAGGGACAGTGGTCCGTACGGCACTTTCCTCTTTCAAGCAAGAGTAACAGGGAAGAGAGTAACATGTACACAGATTTGTGTCACTTGAGTCCAATGGTGAAAGTGAATTTGGCTTTTCCTCCCCAAAGCTAAAGAAAAAATGACTGGAGAAAAATGATTCTCTATGAATTATTCTAGATTTCAGATCTCTTCTTCTGCAAAAAATTTCATGTATGTGGAATAACCACCTTTGATCAATAGATTAGCTGGAAGCTATTATACCATTACCAAATACCCACATGAGATTATTAAAATTGTGAGACTATTTTTGAGTTCATAGAAATGGTACTGCACTTGGGGGACTACAGCTTTAGCTTTGGGGGGGGCCATGCTACATGGAATCAGGGAAATGAACAGTGCTGGAGGGAGCCAGGAATCAGACAAATCTCCTTATTTGCTACTGCTTAAAAATGGTCAAGAGTTGCAATATGTTGGGGGCTGATCCTTTCGTCTAAAGTGCTGTTCAGAATAGCTGTTAAAATTTTGAACAGGTAAAATCAGCTGCTACTCTCTACCTCCATGTCCTCAGCGCGGGTGTGGTGGCAACACACAGCCTCATCCACACACACCCCCGGCCCCACCCACACATGCCCCCAGCCTCACCCCCCCACACATGCCCCCAGCCTCACCCACACACACACGCCCCCAGCCTCACCCACACACACCGAGCCACGGTGTGCCAGAAGGGGCAGGGACCTCCAGCGCGGAGCCCCCAGGGGCAGCTGCCTGGCACCAGCCAGAGGCCTCACAGTGCCCCATCGAAGGTCTGGGGCTCACTCAGTGCTGCGGCTGGAGGCTCGGGGCGCCTCGTCTGGGTAATTTTCTGTTTGGGGTTTTTTGTTTCTTCTTCCTCTTCAGTTTCACTTTCGCAGACATGAACCACCACGCTCGGCGTTGACTCCGTTCCAGCATGGAGCTCATATTTCTCTCCTGGGGAGGTAAGTAGCAGAAAGAGGAGTTTGTCTCTTGAAACTTTGTTCTACTCTTATTTTAATTGCCAATTATTGGCTTTTAGATCCTAAGTCAGAGCACTTTACCTCGCTTTCGCCTTTAAGGTTCTTATACAGTTTTGCCCTTTGAAGAAATTAGCTGGTGGGGAGCTCCGACTGAGGTCTCGGGAGTTAAAATGGAAATGCTAATGACTGTTCTACGGACAGTAGGAATAAACCTGTTTAACTTCAGAATGGTTTCAGTTTTCCCTCGGGAGACACCTGTAAGGTTCCAGGCAGCAATCTCTTTATTATAAGACCTCACACATGCATGACATTGCTCTAATGTCTAAAAACACCACCAAGCCACTTCCCTTCAAAATGCCTTTTGTATCCCTTTCTGAGACATAACATTATTGTAGGTGGACAACTAGTGTGAACCAGCCAGGCACTGATTTCCTAGATTATTTTAAAGGGATGAAAGAAATCAAAGAGAAGAAAAAGAAGAAATGAACAATAACTATAAGAGAAGAATTTGGAAGGAATAATATAGTATTGCCATCAATTCCTTGAAAGAAGTATTCAACATAGAAGTCTATCTGGTACTTTGATGGGACCAGGGAGAAGGTAACTGACATTCACTGACGGCCTGTTATGTACTAGAAGGATGTGCAGCAGTTAGAATTGCGGTTATGTTTATTATCAAGTATGTATCATTTAATCCTTATTAACCACACTGAAAGGTAGCTATTATGATCGCTATTTTAGATGAGAAAATGGGCTCAGAAGCTGAAGCTAAGTAACTTGCTCAAGATCACAAAGTTAGCAGGGTACCTGGCTGGCTCAGTCTGTGGAGTGTGCAACTCTTGGTCTCAGGGTTGTGGGTTCGATCCCCACATTGGGTGTAGAGATGACTTAAAAAAATAAAAATCTTAAAAAAAAATCACAAAGTTAGCAAACACTAGAGTTGGAACCCAGGTTTGTGTGACTTTATCCTCCACTCTGATCATGTTGCCACTGGTTGGCTAGAACACAGATCGCAGAATATGGTCTTTAATACAAAAGTTTCTTGGGAAAAAGGTAAGGGTATGTTACCTGGTCCCAGTTTGGAAACCGCACAGAGTAAGTCATAGTTTATAACAGGCATTCCGTCTTCCCCCTGCTTCCACCCCACAGGCGGCGAGGCAGGAGGGGAGATGAGGAACTGTTTGACCGGCTGCGGGGGCAGTAAATACGACTTGTCCTGGGTTTCACTGGACATCTGTACCTGTGGGCAAGGAGATGCTCAAAACCAGCCTGTGACTGGGCTGTTTCTTCATTTTCATTGTGAGGCTAACCGTTACACCTCTTTGGAGAAAAGGAAAGATTTCTCCTTGGCAGTCTGTAATTCCCAGAGGCGGCAGCTGGGTCTGTGTGGTTCATGGCCAAGCACACAGTGCATGGTACAGAGCCCACGTGCCCCGGGTGCCCAATAAACGACCACCGAATGAAAACATGAATCGATAAGGAGACGAACAAACAATGAATGGTAATAAACCTGAATTCCGATTGTATTTATCTATGTCTTTTTCTGAATTCCAGTTTTAGAAGAGATTAGGTTATATCGTCTCCATAGCTCCACCAAGAAACATCCTGACAACTTTCATTTACATTTTCATTTGGAGCATGAGACAACAAACAAACCCCTTTTTTTAAGTTTGAAAGCTAAGACCAAAATACTTCGTTGAAAATAAAAGAGCGTACTTAATAAATGAGTAGAGGTCTAATGCCTTTATGTCCTCAATTCTTCTGAGGAGAAATTGGTTTGCAAGTGCTACCCAGGCAGAATTAGAATAATAAGCATAGCTGATTCTTGGTAACCAACAAGCTCCTCTGCAATTGCAAAGCCTGGGCCAACCTTTCCGCAGTGCTGTGCCACCTCCCTGGTCAGCCCCAGGCTGGCAGCTATTTTCAATGGGGTGTCTCCTGAATCCCAGAACACAGAAACGACTTCAGCGACTATTTTCTCAATTCTCCCAAGGCTGTCACATCCCAAATGCCAGATTCTAGATGCACAGGAGGAAAGTCAATTCACTGATCTTAAGGTGTCAGGGCTTCCCCCCTCATGTAACCCCAGTTGAGAAAAGCTGCCAGAAAGATGGAATTCCTTTAACGTTTAGCATAAGTAAAAAAAAGTGGGGGGGGGCAAATATCCTTAATATTTATATATCTGTAAAATAAAGGAAAAATATTTTTATATCATTTCCTGGTTAGGATTATTTCAAAGACTGCTGATATACTCGTCAGGAAAATGGAGGATTGATAGTATTTCGGGATGGAGGAAAAGAGGTTGAGAGAACAGCGTCACGAGGTACCTGTGCAAAATACAGCTTCAGCTTCTTCCCGTGGAAGTCCGTTTCGTTGAGTTCTATACGTGCTCTTGCTGCTGCTTCGGGTTTGCTGAAATTTATTCTGACTCTTCTAAAGCTTTTAAACAACTGAAATGTCACTTGGTCGTCATAGACAGTGAAAAGTGCTTCAAATCTCTCCTAAAAATTGAGGAGCAGCGGGGCAGGGGAGGTGGGGTGGGGCGGGGGGCGGGGAGGAAAACCTTTAGCCAAAGGAAATTTAAATCATTAAACATAAGTAATGGGATGGAACTCATGATTTGCCATTTTTCCAAAAAAGAGTACTTTTCTTGCAGGTGTACAAGAACAGGTAACCCGTTGTCATATGCTAAATTCTGCAACTTGCACTTACTTTAAAAGTAATTAACGTTATTAAGTATGGTATAGGTTCAAACTATAAAATGAACAAATGTAAAGTATTGTGAAATAAATATAAGATATAAACAGAGATACAAACATGCCCAATCACAGAACAAGAACACTGTACCATTTTCAAGTCCCCAGTGCACCAGACTTGTTTTTCCCATCCCATCTCTTTCTTCCTTCAAAGCAACCATTTCTGGATTTTGTGCTTATTATTCCCTTGCTTTTCTGTAGAGTTTTACATTTGTTTGTATCCCTGAAGACTTAATCACATTGCATGTATTCTGTTAACTTTTTGTAAGCTTTTTTCCTTACATTTTGTTCCTAAGATTCTTCCTTGTTGCTGTAAGTCATTCCTTCCCGCTGCTAGACTATTCCACTGTAAAGCCATACCGTGATTTATCTAGTGCCGTTGGAATCTGGACTGCCTCGTATTTTCTACTACAGTGGTGCTATTGAACATTCTCGCACACATCTCTTGGTACCCAAATGCATGAGTTTCTCTGACTGGACATACCTATAAGTGGAATTCCTGGGCCTTAGAGTTGGCACATCTTTAACTTTAGGAGATAATGACCAATAGTTTCCCAAAGTGTTTGTACCAGTCTACTCTCTACCAGCGGATACATGTTCTAGTTGCTTCGTATCTTTGCCAACACTTGATACGGACTTTTTAATCAATGGGAGATAGAGACTATGAAATGGGCTCTTAAGTTTGGCTATCACTCACATTTCTCTAATGAGGTTGAGTCTCTTTTTTAAGATTTTATTTATTTGAGAGATTGAGTGAGAGAGAGAGAGAGAGAGAGCAAGAGCAGGGGGAGGGGCAGAGGGAGAGGGAGAAGCAGGCTGAGCAGGGAGCCCGATGTGGGGCTCGATCCCAGGACCCTGGGATCATGACCTGAGCTGAACGTAGGCACTTAACCGACTGAGCCACCCAGGCGTCCCAAGATTGAGCCTCTTTTCATGCTTATTGGCCATTTGAGATGCCTCTAAATGTGATATGCCTGTATCTTTTGTCCATTTTTCTACTGGGTTGTCATTCTTATTGAGTCATGTAAGTTCCATAGAGATACTAATTCTTTGTCAATTAAATGGCCATTAACTATTTTTTCCCAGCTCTTTTGATTGTGAGTTTTTTTCTTTTTCTTGAGAAATAGAAGTTTTAAATCTGAATATTATTGAATTTATCACTTTCTTCCTTCTGTGTTTTCTGTGTCTTAAGAAATCCTTCTATACTCTGAGATCATATTGATGTTCTCCTGGGTTGCTTTCTCAAAGTATTATGGTTTTACCTTTCCCACTGAAGTCTTTCCTCAGCACAAACAATGTTTATGTATGAGGCGCCCCCCTCCCCACCAGCAACCACTACCATTTTTCTATCACTCTACATTAGACTGTATTTTCTAGAATTGTATATCCCAGCTCTATCTGGAATGGCAGAGTTCCCTGAGATCTAGCTTCAGTGGAACATTGTATGTAAATGTGCCCTTTTGACATCACTAGCTTTTAATTGGAGGACTTGTTCCATTGTTGTGATGACTGATATTTTCGGATGTCTACCATCTTGCTTTATCTACTTTTCTCAGATTTTCTGTGTTCATAGTCTCTCCTTTTTTTTACCTTCTTTTCAATTGATTTTTCTCTTTTTTTTCTATTTACCCCCTCTGGATAAAATTTCTATGAAAGATGCTAATGTGCATTTAGCACCTTCTCTAAAGATGCATTATATCCTACAGCCACAGTCCATCTTTGACAAAGGCAAAACAATGAGATCTTTTTCTCAAGGTTTATTTGGGAATATGTCATTTCACAAAAATATTTTTTTTGGTAAAAAGTAAAATTGTGTGTGTGTGTGTGTGTGTGTGTACATCCTAAATGTTGTGGGATAAAATAGAGCAGGAAAGAGGGAGTCATTTTATGAGGCTGAGAAAAAAAAAATGGTCCTATTCACATTTGTTAATAAATTAGAATAATGAGAAAAGCTAATTTCAATTACCAGAATAGCAACATTAAATTCTCTCTACTGGTCACTTTTATGCAAAAGTTTAATAAATGATTAGTAACAAAATAGACCTAAGAAAATTCTCAATACCTTAAGAAATACTCCTTAGGCTTGCCAGTAGTAACATAATAAAGGAACCCATAAATTAGCTTTGTTTTTGGTTTCTGTGAAGATCCTTCAACTATTTGTTGATACTGAAGTAAAAATCATTTGTTAACTTTTCTCACTTTGAATTTCCTACCACTTTGCAACACTTCTCAGTTTGACAAAATAGAAAATGATTTGTGATCAAATATATATTCTTTTAATGTTCAAATATCCCTTATAATTCAGAAAACAGCATCTGCTTAAAAATTATATTATTTTTGCTCATTCATTTAAAAAATATATATTAAGCAACCAACTGTATGTCAGACCTTTACACTAAGTGCTGGACTTCCAACCTATCACAAGCTGCTTCAAAGGAAGGTGAACTTTAAGATCAAGTCTGTTTTTATTTATTATATTATCTCTACATATTAGAGTAATATGGACAAATACGTATTATAGATATAGTAAGGACTTTCACATAGCACATCGGTTCTTAAAAATAAATGTGCACAGGTAAATATATTAAATACTAATAATTACTAACACTTCTAGGCACATTTCAGAGTTTCCTCAGCATCCATTTCAAGGATGGTTGGCTTCGTCACTTTTTAAAAAAATTAGAATTGAGATTTTGTGAAATTACATTTCATTTAATTCTTGGTGGATGCTCACATTTTGAATACTAAGTGAGTACTAAAATTCCCACATGAGATAGTTAAGAAATGTGGCACCTGGGTGGCTCAGTCAGCTAAGCATCCGACTCTTGATCTCCACTCAGGTCATGATCTCAGGGTCATGAGTTCAAGCCCTGTGTTCATGAGTAGGCCCAGCATGGAGCCTAGGAAGGAAGGAAGGAAGGAAGGAAGGAAGGAAGGAAGGAAGGAAGGATCAATACTGAAGGCAGGGGAAATGGAAGGTAGGGAAGACCGAATTAAGCATGGTTTATATTTGTATTCTGTCAATCTGTACATTAAACAATATCCCTTGCTGAGGGTAAAAGGACCATGTATTTATTCCTAATTCCCACAACAATGAATTTTTTGTAGTTACAATAACACACTATCTCGCAAATGAAACAGCTATTTGCTAATTACATCCTATTTCCTTTCAAAACATTTTTTTTCTCACTCCAGAAATATACTGTAACCGAATATAACATGCAGGTGATAGCCATGGGTTCTATGGGTCTCTCTCTTCTAAATTCAAATATCTGTGAATGGATTCAGAATTATACAAAAACGAAGCCATGCAAAAGCCAATCAGTAAGCTTCTTCTAAGTTTTGTTAGATCCTTCTCTTTCTCTCCCATTTTCATGGAGCATAACACAGTTTGAGAAATGTGTGACTTCTCGCCGTGAGGCGCAGTACAGAATACGAATTAACGTGGAGGCAAAATGATCACCGTTTCCTTGTGAGGAACAACGTGAGAGCCCTTGGCTGGTAGCTCCACCCTCCTGTGAACCCACAGGTACCAACAGGTGGATTCCTGAGGCTGCCCCTGACAACCCAGCGTGAGCACAAGGGTTCCGACGACTGCAGAGAAGTCATAATCTATCGACATGCACTTACAATAACTGGTGAGAAACAATTCATTCAGAAACAAAAGTATTACTTTTCTCCTTAAAACTGTTTTAGAGATAATTCACTTTTATATGTTTCTGAATTCTTGAGCAATATTAAAACAAACACCGTCCTGTTAAAGGGTGATGCTTGCACATTTGCTTCTGACAAGAAAAGGAAGATCCCAGAAAATCCAAATTGCCATGGACCACTCTCTTTTTCTAGTAGTCTCTTAGTATCCCTTCGGGCAGTACATCTATAGGAATAAGGCAGTTAATAGTGCCTAAAAATCAATCCCCAAGGCTTTTCCTGTTATAAAACTTTTCCACAAAATATAGACCAGAAGTTGCCTTCATATGCTGAAATCACCCATGCAATTAGCAGTAAAAAGGACTACAAATACTTTGCATCTAAAATATGTAAAGACGACACGTAACCAACAGCTTTCTTAGGAATTCCAGAAAAGTACTTTGCAGCTGGGTAACAAGCTGACTAAAGTCATGAGGAGAGAGGAGTAGAAAAGGTCTTATGGGAAGGTTGGTTTCAGGGAGGTGAGGGCAGCAGCTAGGTGTATTATTTCTTGACCTTTCTGGAAACACCACTGCCCTATCCTCCATCCCAAAGCAGCGAAGGCGAGGCTTATCAATTTCACTGAGGAATAAATTAAGAAAATGATTTTGCTGCACCCCTTTGCCTTGGACATAAGAGCCTGAAGAGCCCACCATGTCTGCACGTTAAGAACACTTTCAGGGTTGAGAAGCAGCAATGCTTCAATCCACTCAGCTGTGAAATTATCTTTGGAGTCCTCCGGCAAAAGATTTTTCACATTCTCTGTCTGCAAATGCGAAATAGAAAATTCCATCTCTCCAGCAGGTTCACAGATGTCAGAGATGAGGCCTCCATTTCCACCTGGGGAAAGGCAAGTGTCTTTGGTTCTCCTCAACATCACTGCTGACTACCAGGAAGAAAGCCCCCAAACTCCTGGGCATGGTGAATTTAAAACTTTGATCATCTGAGTACTTTTAATAGTTCTGGGCCCTAAATTCAAAAGTGCCAAAGGGGAGCAGAACACACAGAAAATGTAAAAACCTTCTATAACTGTTCACTCATAGCATTCATGTTGC